GGGAGTTACTCTGACTACCTTTGATAATCTGGACGAATTGGAGACCATTCAAACATTTCTTCCCACTGCACGGCTCATGCTGCGGATCTATGCCTGTGATGACGATGCTCTCATCAAGCTGGGCGAGAAATTCGGCGCTCCCATCAAGAGTTCATTCGTTCTGTTGCAACGCGCACAAGAACTGGGCTTGGAAGTGTGCGGGGTGAGCTTTCACGTCGGTAAGTTCTTCCAGTGACACTTCCTCACTTCGTAGTACTGAAATAGAGCAAAGGTACGGGGGCTTCGAACGTTTCGGCATATGTGAACGCCATTCGACATGCCCACATGGTGTTTGAGCTGGGCAAAAGCTTGGGATACGACATGGATCTCCTAGACATTGGTGGCGGCTATCAGGATAGCAACTTTGAGAAGATTGCACAGTCAATACGAGGAACTCTGATGGAAGCTTTTCCGTCTAGGACACAGATTATTGCGGAGCCAGGGCGCTATTATGCCCGGAGTGCCTACACTCTTGTCTGCAAGATTCTGTCCCGCCGGTGCCACATCGCCGAGGCCGCACAGGACCGCCCGGATATGCTTTACCAGAACGACGGCGTGTACGGGAGCTTTATGAATGTTCTTTTTGAGAAAGAAGTGGTGCATCCGTCGTTGATCCCCTGCAGCTCACCATACCATCTCAGGAACACAAAGCGAGTGCGTGGACCGCACCATTACTCAATCTGGGGTCCTACCTGTGATAGTGTCGATTGTGTTGCACGAGAATCTACATTGGAGGCGGAAGTTCGCGTGGGGGATTGGCTGAAATACAGTAATATGGGTGGTGAGCCTCCATCTTGATCTTGTGGGCTGAAGGAGTACTGACGGACAGCAGCTTATACCATGGCGACTTCAACGCAGTTTAATGGCTTTTCCAACAAACATGACATAATATATATTAATACAGAGTCAAGGAATAGTGATCAGATGCATTTCAAGCCATCGTGGGACGTGCATCACAAGTACGCTCATCCGTACACAATCTCGGTCTAGATCCATACATGACTATGATTGCAACGGTGTCTTGCTGCCTGACTCCATGATATTGAGGAACAGGCTCTGGGGGAAAATACCCGAGGCAGTTGTTGTCGTGGTTTAATGGTAGAGTTGAATATACTCACCAACTGGATAAAACGGCAACATGCCAAAGCTTTTTGGCAATCAATTACTACAATAGTGGGTGCTCAAATTCCAGGATCATTTATAAGCATTATAGATAAGTATACCCTTTATACAGGAATAATGCCCTATGTACGCGAATCGACAGATGACCAAAAACCGACTCTGTCTGTCGACAAATGGCTACTGTATGGGGGCATCTCAGCCATACACGCTTTATTGCGGGGCCTGCACTGACGCTGAATGGTCTCCCTCATCGGCATGTGAAGATAGTTGTTCTGGAGGTGCGTACAGGAGCCGACAGAGTCACATTCAACCAACATCATAACATGCCTAACATCCCAACTGTTTAGTACCAAATGCGCGAAGCACTGGATGCTCTATCGTTCTCTACAGCAATGTCGGGGGCAACGCCCTGTATTGCGCGACCAGTCTCAGCCCGTTCCAAGTTCCCCTTGCCAATATAATTCCGAAGAAGCTGTCCTGGCGAATACTTCCTGCTCTGCTGAACCCACTGTGGCGACGGCCATAAACGCCGCTTCCAGCACCGGCACTTCTTCCCCTCCCACTTCCAGCTGTTCAACACAACAAACAGTGTCAGTAGCGCCAATACAAACATATCCGATCACGGAAGTGGAGACTCGAAAACTCTCGCCGTTGGTGTAGGTGCCAGTGTTTCGCTCGGAGCTATATCGCTCATTTCTCTGATATGGGGTGTCTGTGAGCGGAGAAAGCGACAACAGCTTTTGAAATCGATGCCCTCTATGGTGCCGATGAACACAGATCCATACGCACCCCTGACAGCTGTAAAAAATCGATACAGCGAGTCTCAGGAGCTGGGGCCATAGCTTTCCGAGCATTCTCCGTGAGCGTTGCAAGAATGGTGATATATGACCTGCCCCAGCTTCGTTTCATCTCGATGACCTGTTGCCCAACCTCAATTGTACATTTTGTCCTTACCTCAAAGATTAGCAGATACTCAATACAGCCGATTTTTGTGTGGAAATACAGACCATGAAAACTGCCAATACAACAGTTCCTGTCCATATGCATCTCTGCTTTCCACTCACAGAATGCCTTCAGGTCTTTGGTGCAGATGATAGGTAGATCTACAACCTTGATAAAATGGCGAGCGGCATCTCTGTTAGAGCCTTCTCGAAACTTCCTGTCATTGAGCATAGGTTGAACTTGGGGCCTCAATGTTCAGGGACGCATCATCAGAAAATCCCTGCTAGTTGCCAAGGGGTACCGGTGCAGCGGACTTGCCATAGTTCTCTACCAGAACAATGCACTGTCACGGTTGCTGCACACTGTTATCTTATCCGGAACAGTTCCACCCTGCCTTTCCCACTCCGCAAGGTACGACCGGCTGACGGAGAGAGTGAAATGTTGGACAAGATCAACCCGGAGAGGAGCTCTTTCGGCTGAAATGATGCCGAGGACTACCCGGACAAGCCACCACAGCGCGATGTAATCCTGACTTTGCGGACGCTGCGTAGCCTCTTCGGGCGTACTGATGGTATTTCAGCATATCCGGAATTATGCCATTGATCAATGCGGGTGGTCTTGGTGCTAAAGCCAGTACTCTAGGACTAACGCCGCGGGGCTATATTGACGAAGAGGGGTACATGCAGCAATTCCAGAATGACCCCGCAACTAGGTAACTTGGCTAGAAGCATGATAAACAGCCATATGGACATGAAGTTTAGCATAGCCTTTCTGTTATGTGCGGGTTAATACTCCACCAACCATAAACCCCTTATGCTTGGATGTTTACGGTATGGCTGTGACTGGGGCGGCTTCTAAGATTCCTCCAACCAGGCTGGACGATCCTAGTTGTGGGCCTATATATGGTCATCCTAGCCCGCATGAGAAGCTTTGGGTTCTGGTCCCTAACCAACTCGATAGACAGCGACAATGAAGTTGGCTTTTACCCTGCCTGTGCTCGCCCTAACACTCGGTGTGGCAGTCAGCGCGCCACTCCAGCAGCCCTCCCGAGCACTACTAAAGAAGCTTACTTCCCTCGTGGTGTTCGGTGATAGCTATACCGATAACGGGGTCCGATCATACAAACCGCCAGTTCCAGCTGAGGTATGGTCACCGAGAGCTTTATTGAATCGGGGTGCTCACAACCTCTCAACAGTCGACGAAGAGAAGCACCGGCGGTCGTGTATGGCCCAGTTATATACGTCAATACACCGGCGCGAACATATACGACTACGCTTGGTCAGGTGCGGTCTGCGATGCTGTTGTCGCAAACACTGTCCGCAACGGCATCAAGCAGAATCAAATCCCTACCTTTCTGGAGGATAACGACTATGTCAGTAATACAACCGGACAGCCCGCCCTGATCAATTCACCAGATGAAACAGTCTACGCCATCTGGATCGGCACCAACGACATCGGCTACGGAGGCTTTCTCACCGAAGTACAACCAGCAGGAATGCCTCTGACGTATATGACCGACTGTGTCTACGCACAACTTGATCGGCTGTACGCGATAGGCGCGCGAGCCTTTGTGCTTATGAACATGGCGCCATTAGACTTGACTCCCTTGTATGCTCTTCCGCAGAATGGCGGCTCCTTGAACGCGCAGTATTGGACCGATAAAGCGGCTTATGGCTCCAATATCACTCGACCCAGCGAGAAGATGCGCCAGTATGTGACAATGGTCAATGCCGTGTATGACTATCAAACGCCATATGATGTTGTCGTCGCGAATCGATACCCGCATAGCAGATTTGCTGTTTATGATGTGCATGCCTTGGTGAGATTGCGATTTGCCGGTACCCTAGGCTGCGGCACCTTTGGCTGATCTTTTCTCAGATGACTGATATTTGGGCAAACCCCTCGCAGTATTTGAATGGCACTGCACCATACAATGTCACGAGTTCTGTCTACCGCTGTGGAAGCCCGTGTACATCTGATGCAGTCCGGGACAGTTACCTGTGGTATGATGATCTGCATCCATCTGAGCAGACTGACCGCATCATTGCGCGTGAGTTTGTCAACATCGTCAAGGGCAAGAGTAAGTGGGCAAGATACTGGAGAAGTTAGGCTTGTCATTAGAATTAGTTGGCATTCTCTATGACATTGACTCGGTCCTTTTCAATCTGGGCCACCTGACTATGATTGACTGTCCTTGTACTCAGTAAATGTAAATTCTGTCGCATTTAGGATTCCAAGGCTCAATTTCGTCGCAGGCCGCGTAGTAGGCTCTTCCTCTTTATCATGCATAGAACAACGTTTTCATCCCTCGGCGATTCGTGTCAAGTTCAGCGATATTCCGGCATATGAGACACATCCATACTGACCTTGAATTAAGCCATAAGCATACCTTTCCGTTTTTTGGGGTATTTCTCTGCCATCGTCCTCGCAGGCAGGTTCGTATTGTTGACAGGGCTCGTCGATGAAAGAAGAACCAAGTCCCTTGTCCAGTATTCTGTCATTTCTGTTTAGTTGGAGACAATTCATTCGACAGCATAAAAAGCCAAAGGGCCTAGAATAACCCACCCTCGCGTATAAACACTTGTTCTGACAGTCACTTGGCCATTCATGCAAGGGTTGACGCAGTCCGGCTAGGTGGTATGCGCCATATTCAGTTGTTAACAGACTTTTGTATTATTCCAGACTCTTCTAACAGTGATTAAGTTCGAGGATTTGCATCTCAAGTAGGGCGCATCCCCGGGTTCGGTTTCTAATCGAAAGGAAGTTTCGGTTTCTAAAGGATGGTTGGCTTACTGACTTAAAGCTAGGTCGTGTCCACTTATTTACCGTTTCTGATCACTATATAGATGAATCACTCGTTTGAAAAAGGGCTCTGCTCCTTTTTAGTAGCATGGATAATGATCCATGCCGTCTTTAGCAGATCGACACCCTCACCATCGCTCCCCTGGCTGCGATATAACTTCTACAAGGCCACTAGCCTTAGCGATAACGCTACGGTACCACTCACAGAAACCGCTATCCTGCCTCTGGAAGACATTTCAGAGCATCGTATAACAAGATCGAATACCTAAAAGTGTACTTCAGTCACATACAAACTCCGCACATCCAACAGCGCTTCAAGGCGGAGCTACTGCACCCGATCGAAGAGTTCCAGGCTCTCGTAACAAATGAATACACTTTGTTATTCAAAGACGCGTTTCCTCATCGGGTCAACGAGGCTGCTGGACTTCCAGAGCCACAGCGCGCACGAGCCCGCGAAGGAGTAACCCGGCTCCTTCGGAAGCTGGACACGCTGAACGGGAATATCACCACGTGGGCCTACCAGAATGCCATGGTTGACCTCCGGCAGGTAGACACCCGCGAGAACATATTGATGCAAGGCGAGGCGATCTGGGCTCGTCGTTTCAGGAGCATTAAGGAGGATATCGACGCCCTGCTGGAACAATTTTCATACCATGGACATCCTCTCCAATACGTGGGGAGTCTGAGTCACGGCATTCGAGGACGTCATAAGGGCAAATCTGCCATCAACATGGACGATTTCGATGTTGATCTCTTTGTGGCACATGCTGAGTGGCGCGCACACCTGCCATTGATACGAGAACAATTCCCGGAGAATTTCAGCAATGGGAAAATACACCCATTAGGAACGCATATGCATGAGTTACAGAACCTCAGCTACGCGGTAGGCCATGCGTTGGCTGCGAATCTTACAGGTAGGATTAAAAAGTCATAGAGATTTATTGAGAATATGGAAATTGTGCTTTGTGAAATAGGCGCGTATTAGTCAGTTGTACAAAACTAGCCACAAATGGTCATTCTCCGCCTATCTCAATTTTCCTCCCGAATATTCCTCTCCCCTTCCCACGAAAAAAGGGGAAATTGGTACTGTGAGTCAATCTCTGATCAAAGAATTCAGACACAGATACGACACATGCCTATGAGTTGCAAGGTCCTCGGCTATGAAATGGAATTTACATGAAGCCAGACCTATGCAAATAGTGCACGGTCAACTGCCTTGAGAGATATTGACCTACGCACGAATGGATATTTATCAGCTACTTTCTCAAAGGAAGAATGAGTAATTTTGTTGGTCCAGGCAGAAGGCCTGCAGAAACTGCAACTTCCCATCTCGAGGAAGAAACGACCCTCTCGCCAGGGACGATCTCCAGCTCAGATGAGTATGCAGCAAACCCGCGATTCTTGCAGCTCCAGGAAGAACTGCGCGATGTACTTTTCACAGCAGTGGCCAGTCATGCTCCCACGAGGCATCAATCACCGAGACCATCGGATCCGATCGAGGACTCTGCGTCAGGGCTGTTGAGGAACAGTCTGGATTTCGCACAGGTCTCGATCCCCAAGGTCAGACTGATCCACTACCTGAAAAACTGGATCATCGAGTGCGCTCCTCATCTGGACAAGTTTGATGAACAAAGCCATTTCGGTGTGCATATCCCCGTCCTCGCTCAGAGCTCCCCTGCTTTGTTTTACGCCATCTTGGCCTTTTCGGCTCGGCAGACTGAGCGCAAGGCTTGCCTGGACAAGTCGTATGATAGTCTGGAGCTCTATCAACAGTCCATTCGGCTGCTGAGTCCGTATCTTCAAGCAAAAGACCCTAATGTGCTCGTAACGGTCTGTATCCTGGGGTGTCTGGAGTTGATGTCAGTCAGCCCTAGAGACTGGAGACGGCATGTCGAGGGCTGCGCGGCTCTCTTCGACGCATATAATGTCAACGGTTTCTCTGGTGGCCATCTTCAGGCCGTCTTTTGGTGCTATGCGCGAATGGAACTGTGTGGAGCGATTATTTCAGAAGGAACCGAAGGCACTATCCTTCCACTCCACAAATGGGTCCCTCCGCAGGCGGCCGATTCTGAAGAAGAGCGAGACATCATGATCAAGAACCTGTTTTGCCAGGACGGCTGTTCGAATCCTGACAGGCATGCGAACTGGGCAGTGTATCTCTGCGCGAAGACGTGCAATCTGGCATGCCGGCGATCACGGTTCCTGGAACTGGGCGAGTTGGATCAGAACGACACGAGGCCGTTCTCCGAACAATGGAGACAACTCTGGGAAGAGCTGCAATTTTGGAACGACCACCGGTGTCCGGCCATGCTCCCGATCAGGACCACGATTACTGGCGGCGATCAGATCTTCCCTGAGATCCTCTTTGCACACTGGGCAGCAATCTCCGGCAACCAGCTCTATCACACGGCCTGCATCATGATGCTACAGATGAAACCGGCAAACATTTCGCTTGTTTCTCCAAGCCCGCACTCTTCCCCTGTTTGGCATGCTCGGAGGGTTTGTGGAATCTCATTGACGAACCCTCACAGTGGCAATCTCATCAACGCGATCCAGCCACTCTATATCGCAGGAAAGCTCTTGAGCCATCGAAGCGAGCATCTCGAGGTCGCCAGATTATTCAAGAAGATTGAAACCAGCACCGGATGGGGTGCCTTGTGGAGACTGAGGGACCTTGAGCGGGCATGGGGATACGAGACAGGTGAGATTCTATCTGCTATATGAGTCTGTTCTTCTATGCAATAGATGCCGCCGATAAATGATGTAATTGTAGTCAATGGATCCGGGTAGAATTACACTATCCTCAGGCCAGGTATAATGTGAGACACATGTGTATAGTCCACATTATTTCAGCGTGATTATTGCCTCTTCTGAGTCCCATATCATTCCATTCAATAGAGATGCTTCGCTACGAGTCGTTTTATGCATGACTCAACTTCCCCAGATTCCAACTGGTTCTCAGATAAAAATAATACCTGATTCATTGGGACGGGAAGAACCGCGTCATTAATCCTGTATTCAAATTGGCGCGGAAAACTGCACGGTGCCTCAAGTTACTGACAAATGCTGTGGGGCCAATGGATTTTCAAAGTCACAAGATGTCTGAAGCAAGAATGGGTGGAGCTGTCTGCTAAGCTTTTGCATCAACTATAGGCTCTGATATCTGTTTATGGATAGGGCTTACTGTCGGTGGCCTCCGATAAGCCCAAATAGGAAATCGTAGCCTATGGTCTCACTCCATGGCACCACGTTTGTGCGGGATCCCCACATTTCCCTTCCCCCAACTGGGCCAAAGCAAGAGATTTCTCTGGGGAATTCCTGGAGTGAGCCGATCTTCATGTGGCCAGGCCGTTTCCTGTTCCTTGTGTTTATTCTGCAGAAGTCCTCGCAAAGCTAATTATCGATTGGAGAAGGAAAAATGGTTATAAAGTCATGTTCCCCTCAGGCCGGTCGTTCATCCCCTGTGTTCAAGGCAACTCTTTGCACGCAATAATCCCCCTCTGGATTTTGGGCTTATTGACCAGACCTCACTATGAGTGGTCGTTCATCCACTGACTTGGAGGCCTCCGTCTCCCAGCAAGCAGGCTACGCGGAACATCGCCAAATGGAGAAGAAATCAATGTGGCAGTCGTTGCGGGAGAACCCCAAGGTTCTGTTCATCGCCTTCTTTGCCTCGTAAGTGTCTCGAGCTGCAATGTCATGGGATTTTCATTGACCGGCAATGGGTAGGTTTGGTGGATTCGAGTATGGCTACCAACAAGGAGTGCTCGGACAATCCTTAGTGATGACTCGGTTTACGGAAAACTTCCCATCGGTCGTTCATTCCTCTGCGGCTACCGGATGGCTCACCTCCATTCTTCAGCTGGGCGGTATTGTGGGATCGCTATCTGCTGGCATCTTTGGCGAGATCTTTTCGAGAAAGTACACCATGTTCGCGGCATGCTGCTGGGTCATCCTAGGAAGTTATCTGTACGTCGGTGCTTCGGCAGGAATGGCCTCGCTCCTGTACGCTGGACGATTCTTTACCGGTCTGGGAGTCGGTCTTTTCAGCGGTGTTGGCCCCTTGTACAATGCCGAACTGGCTGCTCCGGAGATGCGCGGTCTCCTGGTATCCTTCTATCAATTTGCAACCATCCTGGGTATCATGATTTCCTTCTGGGTGGGCTACGGCAGCAATTACATTGGCGGCACTGGTGAAACACAATCCGATCTGGCATGGCGTCTGCCCTCCATTATTCAAGGAATCCCGGCTTTTGCACTGGCCTGCGGCATCTGGTTTATGCCCTTCTCTCCTCGGTGGCTGGTCAAAGTCGGACGAGACCAGGAGGCTCAGTCCACGCTCGCCTGGATGAGGAAATTGCCGGTCGAACATGACCTTGTCCAGATGGAATATCTCGAGATCAAAGCAGAAGCATTGTTTGAGAAGAGAGCCTTCCCCAACACGGCGGAAAAGGGAATCCTGAAGAACCAGTGGGCGCAGTATGCCAACTGCTTCTCCACCATGGACAACTTCAAGCGTGTTTGCACCGCCTGGCTGGTGATGTTCTTCCAGCAGTGGAGTGGAATTGATGCCAGTATGTTTTCCAACTCTGCGTTCCTTGTTCTGAGCTGACATTCTCGTAGTCATCTATTATGCGTCCAACGTCTTTGTCAGTCTCGGTCTGACTGGCGGCACGATCGCTCTCCTGGCGACTGGTGTCACCGGAGTTGTGTTCCTCGTGAGCACCGTACCAGCTATGGTAAGTCATCATTCTTCGTGCCAACCTTCTAAACCTTTGACTAATATTCAATAGTTGATCATTGACCGGGTTGGTCGGAAGCCCATGTTGCTGGTCGGCTCGGTGGTAATGTTCCTGAGTATGGTGATTGTCGGCGTGATTGTTGCCAAGTTCCAACACGACTGGCCGTCTCATGTAGCAGCCGGATGGACCGCAGTTGGTAAGAGTTCTCCATTCGCCGTTAATCCTTGCAACACTGTCTAACACGCTACAGCACTGATCTGGCTCTACATCGCTGGCTTTGGCGCCACCTGGGGCCCAGTGTCCTGGACGCTCGTCTCTGAAATCTTCCCTCTCTCGATCCGAGCAAAGGGAGCTTCCATCGGAGCCTCCAGCAACTGGGTCAACAACTTTGCCATTGCATTTTTCGTCCCCCCGATGCTGAAGTCATGGCAATGGGGCACCTACATCTTCTTTGCCGTCTTCCTTCTGGTTGGCATCTTCTGGGTCCAGTTCTACCTCCCTGAGACCAAAAACGCGTCCTTGGAGGAAATGGACCGGGTGTTCAACAGTCATACCGGCGAGCGCGACGCCCAGCTCCTTCGTGAAGCCCAACGCGATGTGGGGTTGACGGCACTGCTGGCCAGGGCTGAGGGAGGCAACGGTATGTCCAAAGGGCCAATTCCGGAAGAGAAGTTTGTGGAGAATGTCTAGATGATGCTCTTTATTATATGAGGGATGAGAATTATGTATTTGCTTGTAATTATTACTTTTTTTGCTTGCACGTGGGGTATGTTTGCGAAGATATATATCCGGATGGTCTCTATCAGCAAGATTTAATCAAAAGATCTACCAAATTTGTCTTTAGATATCCTGTAAACATTCTATCCTCTCAAGTGCTTTCCTATACCTAGACAATCACTTTACTCTCTATTGATATTCTGGAATACTTAGCCTATCACCATACTAGGAGTCTACGACTATAACCCATGGGCATCAGCAAAAGTTAGAGCTCAGACGCATGCGACCAGGACGATTAATTACAGTAGGTTTGAATTATTTCAGAGTCATTCATATGTGTATATTAATGCCGACGATTTATTTTCTTTCCTTGTAAGTCAAAAAGAGGGAGCCATCGATCTGTATGCATATACAGATCTGTACTCAAGAAAACAGAAAAGCAGAAAAGTGAACAAAAGTATTACGTAAAAGAAGTACATAATTCTGATTGAAATAGCGTTCTGATTGGCCAATATCCCGCTGCCCTATATGTCCTAGTAAAATTCCGCTGACTTTCTCCCCAGTCCCACAATCCGTCCGAGATGGAGGGGAACCGGACGAGAACCGGTCATCCCTCAAGCCGCTTTTCATCGGTCAGCCGAGGAGGTCCAAGCCTGCTAGTTCCGGGGTGCAGAGGCTCAAAGCCCCCTTTTCGACCGGTCACTGCATCTTCTCGGAAGCGTCTGGGGAAGAACCGACTACCACGATGCCGACAAAGAGAGCTACCCCAGCAGGCAAACAACGTGTCCGTACTGGCTGCTGGACGTGTCGCAGACGCAGAAGGAAATGTAAGCATGCTGAGAACTTACAAGCGTGGTTTAAATCTGATTCCATGTCGACTCAGGCGATGAGGCCAAGCCTCAGTGTGAAAATTGCATTGCAAAAGGCTTTGCCTGTAAATATCCCAGCAAAGTCACCTTTGTCTCGGTTGTAAATGCATCCGACCTGCAATCCGATGGGACTGGGTCAACCTACAGCACTATCAGAGTAAGACGAAAACCGCCAAAGAAGTGTTTGTTAAGTCCGTTGACAGACGCGATAGTTTGTGGATGAGACCCCCGCAACTCCTTCACTGCATGAGAGTGGGACGGTAGAGCACGAGCAAAGTCCAGCCGAAAGTCATGTAGAGCCACTACAACTACTTCCAGCCCCCAGTCACGCTACGGTGCATCCTCCTTCGAACACCGCTATTCCTACCCAGCAGGCTCGGCGCGAGGTTTCTTTTACCGCTCTGTCGGATTCCGGCAATGATCCGGAGACAGGGTTACTTCGACATTACTGCTATGCACTAGCCCCTTGGATTGATGTCGGTGATCCAAGCCGTGCTTTCGGCCTCGAGTTCTTGATCCTTGGTAGGCGAGTCCGACCACTCCTCGCTGCGATCCTCGCGCTTGCTGCTGGCCAAAGGTCGCTTGTAGTGCCCACACACGCAGCCGACGACCTCGCCAGGGGCCTCAGGTTTCGCGAAGAAGCCGAGAACGGCCTTCCTTTGCAAAGTACTACTATCCAGCGAGCAGGAAACGTATTTTTTATGCTGCATGACTTCTTTTCCTCGCGTCCATCGCAGTGGAAGACCTTGGTGACTGGTTATATCAATGCGCCAGGAGGCCTCGGATGTCTGTCGGCCTCTGATGGAGGGCTCAATGAACCGTCTTTTTGTGTGATGCTCAGAATTGGTGAGCTTGATAAACTTCCCGAGCTTATTGTCAGAAGTTAACACTGGCCAGATCTTGCTGCGTCTATTATAAGCTCTGAGCCTCCACAGATGCTGATTCCCGCGCCAGTGTCCGTTTCAGAGCCAAGTTCGATCAAACAGGTCTACCAGCATATTCTCCTTCTTCTCGCGCATACCTTGAGCTTCATCTTCGGAGGCCCAACGGCATACCTCGAGGGCCTGGGCCAAGTAGACACAGTCCCCGCTTTGAATCCCGTGTCGCAATGGAACTATCTGTGGACGGAGTGTCGGAGATGGTATCAGAATCGTCCCCTGCAAGTGCAGCCCGTCTTGGATGTTCGAGCTGCGCACGCAGATGAGATCGACCCACAGAATGCATCTTCCTTCCCAATCTTGGTCTACACCACACCCCTCGCACTAGTCGCAAATGCTGTATACCATGTCGCGTCGTTTCTCCTCCTGACTCGCAAGCCGCGCTTTGTGAAGACGCTGACCGGCCCGAAATGTCTGTCCTCCTCTATCTGGCATGCTCAATCCATTGCTGGTATTGCAACTAGCAACGATACGGTCGAGCAGTGGGACCCGATTCTCATCGCGGCGCTGCTTCTCATAGCCAAAGACATGACTCACCATTTACAGCAGTCAGCGGTGTTGAACCGGCTACAGCGGATTACAGAGTTGACAGGGATCAACCTGGACTACGAGATCGAGTCTCTTCAATCCCAGTGGCGCATGTCACGTTACGAACCAATTGCTTGATGGCAGTCACATCAGGACTTGATTTTATCTACCGACTGTCCAAAATATCGACTTCCAAGGCCGTGGGAATGCTCTGCATCGCACCTGGCCGCTGCACACATAACGCCGCAGCATAATTTGCCCGTCGGACGGCCTGCTCAATCGCGTTATCAAATTCTTCCAGCGGTGCCGATGTCGCGACAAATTCGGCAAATGCCGCAGCGAAATACCCAACAAAGGTGTCACCAGCAGCCGTCGTGTCAACCACTTTCTGTACGCGGACTCCATCGACGAAGCCCTTTCTGCCGGTGCAAGTCGAGAAGAACACGCCCTTCGCCCCAAGAGTAATGAGGACAGTCTTGACGTTGGCGAGAGCATGGAACTGCCTCGCCAGGTCTTCCGGCTTCAATTCGTCTGTCGTCTGCGTGCCGATTGCTGAATCTGGAGAGATGGATGCCTGCATTTGTACCGCTTCGGTCTCGTTCATGACCAGAACAGAGGTGCTGGAGAGCGCGTCAACCGGGACGCCATCTGCGAAGACCGGGGCGGGATTGAACAGGATATGTGTCGGATTCCCTGGGTGGTTGAAATGCCTCATCAAGTCCAGAGTCGTGTGTCTGGGGATCTCGCCTTGTAGAACAACCAAAGCCGGGGCCTGAGGGTAGGATTGGATCGTGGCGAGGATCTTGGAAGCATCGTCCATCCCCGCATGATTGGCCCCCGGCACCACCAGGATCCTGTTTTCGCCGTGCGCTGAATCCTCGACGATGATTGTCGCAGATCCAGTGCGGCTGTCTGTTTTCTCTTCAATATACTTTGTATCTACGCCAGAATCCTCTAGCGTCGGTCGGATCAGTGTTGCGTAGTAAACGTCGTCGGCGCCCACAGCGCCAATCATGCTCACAGTGACTTTTGAGACGTCACTGGAGGTGAGCGACGCTCGACCGCATGCGACGGCCTGGTTTGCACCCTTTCCGCCGGCTGTCACGGAGAGGGAATTTGCTGTCAAGGTCTCCCCTGGCCCGGGACACCGGGATGTTGATACCGCAAAGTCGATATTCAGCGAACCGACGACGCAGATGTGGGTCGTGTTGGAAGACATGCTGCGAGATTCGATTGTGTCTGAAATACTAAGAAATCAATACTTGAGGCAGGTGGATGAGCACTCGCAACTTGGATATTTATGTCGTGTCTTCAGTTAGCCCGCTTCTACCATGTGGAGCCGTCCAAATGCGGGAACCGTAGGCTATGTCCCTAGAATCGTCGCAAAGCATGTAAGCAAGTATTTGGTCAAATTCTCTCTTGCTTTTAGGAATCTTAATTCCCTCGTACTAGTTTGATTGGCTCTGGCAATTGAGGCCAAATAAGATTCACGCTCGCCTAATTACACAAGTATGGGGGAAGCTAAGTTATTAGCAACAAGATTAAATGTCCTCAATGTTGTCATGTATTACAACGCTCTCCTTTGTATACATATTTTCTATTACAATTGAATGGAGTGGACTTCAGAATATAAAGCCCACGATATTGGTTAACAATATGGAATCTAATTCATCAATAGATCAGGAACAGCGCTAGGCATCATGCGCATCAATAACATTGGAAGGTCAAGTTCTATGTTCATGGATAAAGTCTCCTATGTGATATGCGCGAAGCAGTAAGATGGACTACTGTAAACCAAGTCTCTATACTTGATTAGCTGGCAGCATTATGAAGCTCAAGGCTTGCTGCCAAGGAGAATGCCATAGTGGTGACGGATGATGGTAGCCAAGTATGATTTCAATTAATCGGCATTTAATCGGGCATGTCATAGATCTTTTAGACCCATGAAAGATCATTTTTCAGATGAGTAGGGTGTTTAACAACCACAAGATTCCTAGAGGGTTTTGATGCCCTGCTTTGCCCTGCCCATGTAGGACACTCTCAAAAGCAAATAAGATTGAAAAAGCAGATATGTAAACTATCCTCCAGAATTTAGACCATGCCTTGTAACAAGTATATCCATTTCTGATAAATATTAAAGCATGAAATAGAACTAGAAGAGTTATGCCAGAGTCAACACCAGCCCCAGTACCATCGGTCGACTTGCCTTTACTGCCAGCCTTCAACCACTTGAGCACTTATTATTTACAAATGGTTCCAGGTTGGAAAAGGAGACGCCTCTATGGTGGCGTTGTGAGTTGAATAAGATACAGCATCGCCCTCCCTGACACTTCTTCCTACTTTGTTGGTTAATCGTGACTATGACTCCCCTCTATATTCCACGTTAACAGCATAGACAATATCCAAATAGACCCTTGAGTAATCAGAATATAGCTATGATATTAACAGGCAACCAGAGAACTCTGGAGAAAAAAATTTTCTGCAGGCCCATTTTAGGCATCTATGTTTCGTGAGATATGAGAGGCATTTTTGGGAGCCAATGGATATGCAAACTTTAATCAATGGAAGCCACTCTGTCAAGCATCTAGCGGCCCTGAATGATAGCAGAAAGTGATGGAAATCGAAATAAGACTATTGTCGCGATATCAAAGGTTCAGAGGGAAACAAGACGAAGAGAAAATTGTAGGTACAGATACTGGTCCTGATGGTCCATCAAAATGAACGACAGCATTCACCTGCCGCAAATCGTAAAAGAGCAGTATGTATCATGTTCGTTGTTGATAGATAGGGGAACAAATCATAGTAGCCTAACAAGCCGGTGAGGGAATTATATGATCGATCCAAGCTTTCTCTTGGGCGGCCATGACAGACTGTCAACAGATTCGACGAACCTGAATGGCTGAATCCACGGGGATGGACCGAATAAGGTCGTCCAGAAGTCTCCAGTTCTGAAGCTAAGAAATAAATCTATACAGAACATTTTGTCCGGCACATATAAGACTTTTTTCCCTCCCTTCCACTTTCCTCTGCTCGCCTACTTGGTTGATCATCTCTTCATATCAAACACTCATATCTCTACTTCATCATACGGCCAATTTGATACTTCGGCAAAGACATACATCGATGAATAACCTTCCTTCTACAATCTTATGCCGCTGTATCACTGCAGTGGAATGCCATAGCCCCAGACCCAACGGTGTCTGCCCAGAGCTCCTAGAAGAACGTCGCCCGCCATAGGACAAAGGTTATTGAGGGCCACTGATTCGCGGAGTGTCAATATAGAGCTCAGAAGATGGAAAAGATTGCGTTCTGTTTGTATATCCTCATTCTCAAGAATGCTCTTGGGACGCAGGCGCTGATATGTAACAGTTTAGTCCAGTGTCCTTAGATTCATTCATTCGCTATTTCATATTCTGCTTCATTACATACGGCCAACACAAGGGGAAGATAAAACAGAGGAGAAAAAAAAAAAATATCACTCATGCACAAAATGAATCGGTTCCTGAGTGTCCTGAGCAAGCCCGGAACCAGGGCCGATATCAAAGGCGTGGCTCCTACTCAGTTCACTGAGAAAGACGGCCTTGCAATCGATAAGCCGAACGCCACTGGCTACACACCGAAAAGCAAACCCAGATTGCTCGATCGGTGGCTGGATTTCGTCGTTCGGGTGTCTGGATCGGAGCCAGTGTTCTTCTTCATCCTCGCGGGCCTCCTCACCTGGGCCTTGCTTGGGATCAAGTATGGGACCACCGACCTCTGGCAAGTCCTGATCTCCGACATTCAGGCAATTGTCAGCTATGTGTTTGACTCCTTCCTGGTCAGGCAGCAGCTCAACGCATACGATGAGGAAATGACTGTGGCCGCCGAGTTGCAGTCGCGCATTCTCAGCCACCGCAGGATGCTGGCGAAATTGGACCTGGAAACAGACGAGAAAGATCCAGAGAAGCAAGTCCGTCTGCGGACGGTCGTGGCTCGGTACCGGGACGCTCCTGAATTCAGTGCAGAGTTACCAGCTGAAAAGCGTTTCGGACGGACCATCACTTGGTTCTCTCATGTATTGGGTCATCTCGGCACCGTCGCTCTATACTGGGTTGGCGTCTTCGTCTGGATTGGCCTCGGACATCGGGAAGGATACAGCGACGAGTGGCAGCTGTATATGAACTCGGCTTCTTCTGCATTGATGGTGTTTGTTTTTGCATTCCTGGCTAACGTCCGCGAGCGACACTCGGCCTACGCCCTCAGCTGCCTGAATGCAATCTTCAAGGTTGATGCAACGCTCGAATTTCGCCTCCGGCTCCTCACTAGCGATAACATTGACAACGACGTGGTCATTATTCCCGCGCCCAAGGTTAGCGGAGTTCAACGTGCCATCTTCTACTACGCGGATCTCGTCGGGACTCTAGTCGGGATTACCATCCTACTAGTCATGATGATAGTCTGGGTCGCGATAGGACCTCTACTGCACTTCGACGCAAACTGGTGGCTGATCATTGGCACTTACGCCGGTCTCGTTGGCATGAGTGATGGCTTTGTCCTCCGAAACTTGCAAGCTCGGCTTCGAGGCTTTGCCGATCTAGAGTTTGAGAAGGTTGAAGCGGAAGACGACAAACTCTTCGAGAGTGTCGGTCAGGCCATGCCGATCAAAGAAGTCGCTGAAAAGCCAGGTCTGACGCAGCGTGTATCCGATGCGATGAATCGGGTCTGCGCACATGAGATCACTGTCGTGGCTGGCTTTCTCACCATTGTGGGCCTCATTGCAGGAGCAAGCGCAATGAAATGGACAATGACAGGCCAATTGCTGTGCAATGTCCCACCGAGTTTGATTGAGTCATTCTTCATGATCATCTTGATCACAGGTCATAACTCGGCTGATGATCGCAAGCGAGTGGATCTGCGGAATCTCTATGAGAGGCGTCTGCATCTTCTGGCTCTCGTCAATGGTGTACAAACACTTCGAGGGGAGAATGGCTCACAGAGGGACTAGTCGTTACGATATTCGCTCGCGTGAGACCATATTGTCGTTCAAGAATTGTGGATTGGGAATAGTGTTTGATTTGCTTTACTGCTTTCCTGTATCTCTTTATTGTTTCGGTTTCCGGCATTGTTGAGCTTCCTATGGTGTGGGAATTGGTGGTAGATGCAAAAGTCCATGTATTTCATCTTGATTTCACCTTGAGTTAAAGTGTTGCTAACTTAGTTACTGATACAAATATCACTGGAAAGTCTCCTTTTGAGCATATGTACATGCACCAGAGGATCATAGGTTATAGTTTGCTAATAAAGCACTGCCCTGCCAGTCTCAATCACCTTTCTACCAGTCGAGTGCGAACTCTAGTCGAGGACCTCGCGTAGCTATTACTCTTGCTTTTGTGACACAGACACCTGTCAACTATGAGTATCCGTTCTGCAAGGCCGAAGAATACCACCAAGTTCTCAAAAAGGGAGGGGGAAAATGTTCTCATTAAACTGCCCAACTTGAACCATAGTCATGATTGCCTTTCTGTATGAGAGACGAGATCATGCCACTTAGAGAAGACATTATGTGGATCATACTTCCTCTTCAGAGCCTGCAATCGGGGAAGATTATCCCTGAAGAGGTAAGTTGCTCCAATCTCATGACCTACATGGGTTGTCAGCATGTCATCAAGACAGAACAATTCCCAAGTGCCTCCCACCTGCAAAATTAGCATTGGCTTGCACGACAGGCTCCTTTTTGCCAGCAAAGCAATCCGATCTCTTGATCCTCGAGAGTAGGGCTCGCATATACGTATGCATCGCCGCGTCATGCTCAGGGTCATACCAGCAGAGAAGCAACGCGACGTTGTAGTATCGTCCTCGATCTGCGCAGGCTGTGGCGTCGATGGGGACACTTATGGTCTTCCCGTAAGGTATGAGCTCAAACATTAGCACGCTGTTATTCGATCGCGGGTATTTATCCATAATCGCGTCGAAATGCTCCCATAAATCACAGAGCAGATGCTGGTCAAGTGGCATGGATACTTTGGTCCCACTGAAACATTTTCGACCCTCCGGGACTGGATCGACATTTGCAATTCTATTGAGCTCTTTGTAGGACATCATAGACGTTTTGTTTATTGAAGGGCCCAGAGACATCAACGGCGCAAAGAACTCCTCAGCTTTCTCATGACTGCCGTTATAGAATGGCAAAACCAAGATACCAGTACGATCAGCCGCTGATGGCGCCGCAAGCCCAAAGAAAAGGCCACTGTTTTCGTCTTGCAGTTCGTCGAAGCGACTGGCGAATTCAAGGATTCCCGGTAATCGATCTACGGTGAAAATGAGCGTCCCACCATACACTGGCCCAGCAAGCTCATAAGCACGGAAACCAAGCTCTGTCACAATCCCAAAGGCTTGACCTGCTCCGCGCACTGCCCAGAATAAATCCTGGTGATCCTCATCAGATGCCTCCACAATGGTACCGTCTGCTAAGACCATTTTGACACTGAGGAGATTGTCGCTGATCAGACCGTATCGGCCAGTTAACCACCCGAAGCCACCTCCCAGTGTCGTCCCGGCAACTCCTGTGTGGCTTGCAGTTGAACCGACAACTGCCAGGCCATAAGCAGCAGTGGACTCGTTAACGTCGTCCCAGATAGCGCCACCCTGGACACACACAGTTCTAGAGGCAGGGTCAGTTAGAACCCGACGCATTTTCGTCAGGCTGATGACCAGTCCACCGTGGGTAGCAGACGAGCCAGTGGTAGAATGTCCACCGGCCTCCGTGACGAAGTTGATATGGTGCTTTCGGGCAAATTGCACTGCTTCAGATACTTCTGATGTAGAAGTCACTTCGACTATAGCGCCCTGGCGAAAGTCAGTCAGTCCCCGTCGTATGTACAATGAGAACGTGGAGGAACACACTGCGTCTCGTTCGCAAGTATCACTCCATCTTTTAATCTTTTCCGCATAGTCCTGAGATCCGTAACAAATCACATTCGCTCGGGTCCCCTCCAACCACCGTCTCAGTTCCAGTACATGTGAATATGACATGAACGGCATGATGTATCCTGCCCAGAAACGCAAGAATGGGATGCAGACAGTAAGTGAACTGCAAAATACATAAAGAACAAAGACCTGCCACATGGAGATGCCCTGTTTTAAACCAGGAGTAGGCAACGGTTTCTAGCCATGCTATTGGACATGATTGATCAACTTCGTCATGATTATACTGTTCGAAAAGTATCACTCGGTCAGACCACAGAATGAGGCGGGGTCTCGCCCGCAAGTACCCTGGATAAAGAAAGTAAGACCTTGATCCTTGAAAACGATTAGCCATGTCTACAAGACCTGATACTGACAGAACTGAGCTACGACCAGTTTCTCGAGTAATGCTCAGGAAAGGTCTTGAGACACCAATGATATCCTTAGGGCTCTAATTTAGAGTTACGATTGCAAAAATGTCATATGGAGAACTGGAGCTATTTAACTTGAACGATCTTTTGCAGTACCCTCAAGGGAAATATTCACACGGTACAGTCCTGGCATACGTCACAGACCTCTACTAAAGCCTTCTGGCACAGTGGGCAGCTATTATGAGCCCTTAAAAACCATCTTTCCAGGCAAAGATCATGGAAAACATGACGACACCGCAGTGTATGAACTGGATGATGCTTAAGGACCGGATCTAAACAGATAGAGCTGTCGCTCACGTTAGCAACACATGCCCGTACTTTTAGATGCTCAACATCAAGGATCAGGACCCTACCATGTGATGCTGTTGTACTGGAAATATGGAACTTCGGCGGGTCGCGTCGACATCAGCCAGGCACCCAGGAGCTCTATAGGGGCTGCCTCTTGAAGCTCGTTTAGTTTGTCTGCTATGGTTTCGCGAATTGATCGTTCATAAATATGATCCAGGTCTTCATGCTCATTCTGCGTGGTGCAATACGATGTGTATAGTATCCTATTCATTTAGTCAGTGTTCAGCTGTGGACATAGGGACAGGCATTATAGTCCAGGGAACTTTTACCAGAGTGCCAGGATTAGATAAAAACTGCCACATGCGAAAATGGCCAAGTACAAATCTGTTGGATCATTTGTGTCATTCTCCAGGTCATTGTCAGAAGTTAAGTAAGGCGTTGATGTTTGCTTCTGTGACCTGCTGTGCAGTTCCATCGTGGCCCATCATGTCTTGATCATATATCTGTGGAATAGACAGCAGCCTTTGATGTATTATTAGCAAGTCTGAGACATCCAGGTAATTAGCCAGCTGGGTGGCATGATATCATGTTTCTAAAGCTAGCTAAGGAAGTTTCCATAAGCTTAATGTTTGCTACCCACATGAGATCCTTGGGAAATAGCTATGTTTTGGACCCAAATATTAACTAAAGGCAAAACGAGGGTGGCGAAATACCTCATATGATATTTCTATTCAGCTTGTCTAAACTGAAATGACCGTTCTAGTTTGCCACCCGCCCTCTTTGAATGCGGTGGCATGATATTAAACTTTATAGTGGACAAGTTCAGTGTCCCAACTTATAGAGCCATATAAAATTTTTTTGGAAGATATCAAACAATGACAAAATCATGGCAGATCTGTCTGCAGATAATCTAGTCATGCTGTAATTGACAAGACGTGGCGCAACCATTATGATTCTGTACCTGTATACATTATATCCGTCAGGTTAGAATAGAGTTCTTGATATGCTTCATTCTGATGAAGTTTTAGATGTTCTTCACAATCATAGTTTAAAGGGAAAGGGATCTAAATAATCTAATATAGTTGATTCAGAGCATTCATTTGCAGCAGACTTATCTAAAGTAATACAAAAATGTGAGGTGAGTCTTGTGAGTCAAGATGGCCTATATGAGAGACGATAAATAGAAGAGATTAAAGCAACCAGGTAAACAGCGACATCGTCAGACTTTGCTTCGGTAAGCAGGATTGGGAGGATAAACCCGAATCAGCTTCCAATGTGCGAGCGCGGCAGCAGCATCTGTATGATATTCTCGGGTCAAAGTAGCCAGGACATTTCTCTGCAGTGCGAGCCTATTCCTCCTTTGTGTTTCCAGTAGTTACCAATGATATACTTAGTCGGCTTCAGACACAGGGAAGTCTGTTAACAAAGACCATAGGAATGGCATTCGCATACTCCTGAGCTCTGTGAGTCACCTGTCTTTATGGCAAGTCAGCACAGCCATAATAGCCACCGCCGCTGTGCATTGCGTAGATACATGAAGTGATGGTTTCGTGCCATGAGTAATGCTAGGAGTAGTAAGCTAGGTGGCTGCACAACCTATACATAAGGCACCACCCTAGTGCATGTACTAATTTACTGACGATGGAAAAAGAGGCCCTTTACATTAAAGCTAATGATAATAGGGCTCCAATACTAAGACTGGTCAGTCCGTCGACCTTTCCATATGGAGACTAAAGCATGGCGGAAACGGGAAACGAAGTACTAAGATGTGGAGATACAAGATTCATAATAGCTCGTTGATGTGCGTATAATGCCTACCAACAATGCCAGCAGGGGTGTAGGTTTCCGCTCTAACACTTGTAGTTGCCCATATCTTCTTGACCACGAACTACACGCGAGCCCAGTGCTTCGGCAATTAACATCCCGGTAGCCTAGGATTGCTAACTAATGTTGGCTAATAAGCCATCTTAATGTAGATAAGATCAGAGCACTCCCTAATACAGATTGGGGGTTGACCAGTAGCTGCCGGTCCATTCCTCTATTCAAAGGATCAGAACATATGACATCGACTTGATAATAGATAGAATACAGACAGCCCTGTAATTGCGACTATATAACTCGTACATCATACACCAACGGTGGTCGTACCGTGGAATTCCTCATGAGCTGATTCTTGACCTTCGGCTTTTGTAGCATCCTCGTCAGCGAGCTTCCGCGCTGCTCTCTCCGCGAGCACATCACTATGAAGCTTGTATGCTCGCTCCATGTCCCAGTAGAACGGGCTGGGTGTGGAGAACAAGGCGTCGATCGATTCCAGGGACCG